GGAAACATAGTCAAAATAGGTACATTTGAAGCTCTCTTTGTTGGAAAGATTTTATTCCACAGTCTGCCAACTGAGAAAAGCTGAAATTTTATTCTCCACTTTAATCTAGAAGGAATGAGCAGCCTGAAATACACTGGAAATTTTTCTTTGGGAAGTCTTCTAAATCTTTTTAAGGTGTCATTCTGTGGTGTATTTGTAGCAACATTGAACACTCTTGACTTTTTCTGACTTCCTTATCACTTCCATTCATACAGTCCTCTTCATAACTACATTGCACTAAATAACTGATAAATATTTGTATACTAGTAGTATCAGTAGTATAAACAGGTGACTCTTAAGAGTTAAAACAGCACAGTGGTTAAAAGAACAGATATTGAAGCCAAGTTGCATAAATTCAAAACACAGCTCCATATTTATCATGTGTGGGACCTTGGATATATTATTTAAACTTCTCTTTGCTTCATCTGTCAAATGGAATGATGCAGAATTTACCTTTCTAGATTTTCATCAGGATTAAATGCATTGAAAATATGTTAAGCACTGAAAACAGGGTACAGCACATGCAACAATTTATATATCAATTTTATTTTTTCCATTGTCCCCAGCATATGGTTTCTAAACCAATCATTATCTCCAGAGGTACTGTCATCTCCTGCAGCCATTCATTTCATTTTGGACCACTGAAATTGTAGTCTTTTAAATATATTTATTCACATTGGATCCCCTGTGATTTCTAGCCATTGTTCCTATTTCTGCCTTTGAAGCCACCTAGAATAAATGTGCTATATTTTCTCTTGCATATGGTAGTCTTTCCTAGACTAGGAGAGAAATACCAGCTTCCTCCCTCCAAATTCTTTTATTTTGCACAACTCTTAATACCACATTTCCTTTAATTATTACTCATATATTTCTTAGACCCTCATGAAATTGATTACTTGTATTTTGGATCTGTTTCCATTTGCCAACATCATTATCATACATTCAGGTAACAATTGCATTTTCATCTCTAAAGAAGTGCCCACTGGGGAACTCAAATGGACAGAGGGGAAGATAAAATTGAATAGAGGGACCTTCCACCACCCATCAGCCATCGGCTTAAGTAATATGTATGTGTATGAAACTGGACCCATCACCATCAAATCATTTCTTCAGAGGCAGCTCTCAAAAGGCTCTCCTTTACCTGAACTAGTAAACTGATGGAGATAATTCCAGAAGAAATGGAGAAAGATACGTTATCAGCCCCCCTCAGTCTCACCCACTGCTACTGGCTCTTAATTCGTGTCCAGCAACATTTAAGCTATAAAGATTAAAAACTTCTCCTGCTATGAAATGATCAATATTCACAGAGGTTAAGCACTGCAGAGTAACCACACATTAAAAATTATAATATGTATTAATTTAGCATAACACTTTGAAAGGGTCAAAGATTTTTAATGTTCCTTACATAGTCCCTCTTAGCATGCTAACCAACTATTTATAAAACATTATTAAAACTTAAGATTAATCAACTTTTTTTGATCTTGTAATTTATATTAAGAAGTTTCTTTCTCTCTCTCTCTTTTTTTAATCTAGACTGTAACTTAACATTCCCAGGACTGAAATATCTGTTCTGAAGCAAATATAAAAATGCAATTATGAAATTTTTGAAAGACATTTTCTAATATTATGTCACTATGATTTATAAAATTATAAATTACCTCAAGAGAATTCAGAGAAAAACATCCTATTAGTAAAACCAATCTTTACTCAGATGATGCTGTTGGGGGAGTGTGTAATTTCCTTGGTTCTGTCTCGTCGCAACAAAAATCTGAAGCGATGGATGGACCAGTGTTACAGCTCTGAGTTACAGCTCAGCTTTACTTAGAAAGCAAAGGAAAATACATCCTTGAGGTGTGAGGGTGGGCTGACCCAAAAGATGTGAAGAGAAGCCCTTCCAGGGCTCAATTTGGCTCCTCTTTTATATGTATTTTCTCCTCCCCCTGAGCCTGCTCTATGTAAATTGGGCTAGCCAGGAGGGCTGTTTGTTTTACCTGAGGTTCTCACTTCAGTCCTTAGACCTTCCTTTATTCTATTTTCACGGGCTTTTTCCTTCTTTGTCTTTAGCCACCACCATTTTGGACTCCTTCTTCCTATTCTAACTACCTAAGAGTCACTCCTCAAGTGATGGCAGGCCCAATTCTTTGTAAATATGGGTGTTGAGGTCTCTCCAGCTATTTCTTGCTGAACTGGGATGGCGAGGGGCATTGGGCTTCCCCCTCTTGCTAGTCTCAAGCTTCAGAGTCCTTATAGCAGTGTCCATCTAAGGGTGAATGCTATTTTCCATGGTTGGCTATAGTTTTATATATCCTTGTTGAACTGGCACTGCATGTTATATAGCCTGTTTACCTGGGCAGAGACAAAATGGCTTAGACAACTGATTATACATGGAGCAATCATAAGCAGCATCAATATGGTGATAACAAGAATTAGTAAAGGCACTAGCCAACTCCAAATTTCCCATCACCAGGAGAAGGATCCCCCAAAGAGAGATTGTAGCCACCCCCAAGAACTCTCTAGCTCATTCTTTGAGGTCCTGTAGGATCCAGAATGTTTTTCTTTAGGATTGTGAGACCGTCTTCATCTTAGCTGGAGATATTTTCCCAGAAACAACACATCTCATTCAAGATGGCTCAAGTCTCTCCTTGTTCAGGGATCACGAGATCTATATCCTGTCTATTTTGGAGTACAACCCCTGACAAGCTATGCTGGCTCTTTAGAGCCATCGTGAGAAATCTTATCCCCAGAAACTTGATTTTGGGGATGTTCATTAGAATGGCACTCATTTGTAGTCCTGAATAGGTGTCTGAGATGTCCCAGGGGCTCACAGGTATATTGAGTGTCCTCTTTTGTTTTCTTCCACGGCTTGATTAGTGAGTAGCAAATCCAGGAGCCATGTCCTGGAAACTTGACTGCTGTGGGGGTAGAAAGTATTACAGGGTAGGGGCCCTTCCATGTGGGCTGAAGTTGAGCCTTTGGGGACCCATCCTTCCAGACTTTAATTAGGACTTGAGTCCCTGGAGCATATAGTGGTAGATCTCTAGAATCTTTTGGGTCCTGGTTCATACCCCACAAGCGTATATCTTGTTGGAATTGCCCAATGGCCATGGTATAAGACAAGAGGGTTTGAGCCTCTGGATCTAGGAAGAAGTCATTAACATACACAAACGGTCTCCCATATAGCATTGAGATGCTATATAAGGACTAAGACCAACCTGTTCCTTAGGGGCAATGCAGGTGCAGAGGAGAGCTATTGGTAAAGCCTCCTTCCATCCCAGGGAGGTCTCCTGGGTTATCTTTCTATTGCTGATTTTAAGAATTGATTGACTCTTTCTACTTTTCTTGAAGACTGAGGCCTCCAGTCTCAGTCTCCAATGGAGATAATAAGAATGCCCAATGCTTTAGAGACCCCTTGGGTGATCTTAGAAGTAAATGATGTCCCATTGTCACTTTGTAATGACCTGGGTAGACCAAATCTCAGAATGATTTCATGGAGCAGTTTTTTTTTTTTTTACCACTTCCTCAGCCTTCTCAGTCCCAGTGGGAAAGCCTTCACTCTTCAAAGACATCTGGGTGAAATCCTTCTGCCAGTCCTCTCCTGGGTAGGACCCACACCATTGGATAGACTGAAAAAGCTGGGGTCTTTGAGCTCCTTGGGGGTTACTTAACAGGAAAGTGGGAGAAGAGAAGACCACTTGCCTTACACTTGTTTGGAAACCTGCTCCTCTGAAGGACCTTTCTAGTAATCTTTGGAGGGCCTTCTCCCCTAAATGAGCAGTGACATGTAAGGAATTAACCAACTTCCACTGGAGCTTCCCAGGCAGAGAAAGGAGTCCTTCCTTTTGGAACCACCCCATATGATCTTCTTGAAAACCTTCACTCTTAGCTTTAAGGGTCTCACCTTTAGTATATGAAGGACTTTCTGGCAAATTAGTCTGTGGAACTAAGGTGGCAGCCCCTATTAGGTCATGGTTCTGTAACGCTGCTCTCTTAGCTTCCTGATCGGCTGCTTGGTTCCCTCGTGCCACTTCTGTGCTCCCTTTTTGGTGTCCTTTACAACGGGAGACTGAAACCTCAGGGGGCAGATGGACTGCCTCCAAGAGCCTAAGGATTTGATCACCATATTTGATTGGGGACCCTCGGGTGGTTAAGTGGCCTCTTTCTTTCCCTCAGCAGCATGTGCATGTAGCACTAGAAAGACATACTTGGAGTCAGTGTAAATGGCTATTCTTTTTTCCTTTTCCCAGCTCTAATGTTTGAGTCATGGCTATGAGCTCAGCTAATTAGGCTGAAGTACCTGGTGGCAAAGGTTTAGCCTCTATGGTCTCAAAATTGGAGACTACTGCATATCCGGCTCTTCTTTTTCCATCCAAGACAAAACTGCTTCCATCAGTGTACCAGATTTCCTCAGGGCTGGTCAGAGGATATTCTGACAATCCCTCTCAGGGTTTTGTCCAGTGGTCCAAAGTTTCTAGGCAAGAGTGAAAGGGGAGAGAGCCCTTGGGGGTAGGCAGGAGGGTGGCTGGGTTAAGAACCTCACAAAGGGATATAGTCTGGCCTGGATTTTCCATCAGCACTACTTGATATATGAGGATTCTTTGATTAGACATCCATAAGTGGCCTCTCCCGTTTAGGAGTTGTTTGACTTGGTGACTGCGAAAAATAGTTAATTTGCCCCTAGAAGAGAGTTTTAAAGCATCTTCTATCAGGAATATAATAGTAGCAAGATTTTGAAGGCAGGGAAAGATCTCTTCCCAATAAGGGAATAGGACACTCAGGGACCCCCAGAAACTCGTGGGAAATATTTGTCCATCTCAGCAACAAAGGGCTCAGGTGAATGTTTTTGTAATTGTTTTTCCTGTAGCACCTAAAATAGTACAGGTTTGGGAGGAGAAGTCTCCAGATTAAGGAGGTCAGGACAGAGTAGATAGCCTCTGTGTCAATGAAGAAATTCTCAGACCTACCTGCCATATCCAGTTGCACCCTTGGCTCCAGCCCCGTGATGGTTATCTGTGACAGGCAGGCACTCTGCTGTGGAGTGGGCCACTTCAGTTCTGTTGAACCATACTGAGGGAAGGCTTGACGCATGACCTTGAGGCTCTGGAGTCCGAGGGCAGAGAGCCACTTAATGTCCCAATTGATAGCATCTGTAGCAAGCCCTTTTAGGAGGCTTCTCATGGTTTGGACACTCTTTGGTCCAACGTCCTGCCTGTCTACAGAACAGGCATTTGTCTCGTGCCTTATCCTTTAAGGACTCAGGGTTTGCCATAGGGCTTCCCTGGAGGGCGGCCAGCATCTGGGCATGCCTTATCACTTTCCTTTTCTCCATTTCCTGGGTCTTGGCCTTTCTCTCCTGTTCTAAAAGATATTGGTGGCTGTCTGGACCATCTCATCTATAGAGCAACAGGGTCCTGCTGCTGTAGCTGTTGTAACTTTATCCTGATGTCTGATGCACATTGAGACAGGAATTTGTCCTTTAAGATCACCTGTACCTCATAAGAGTCTAAGTCCAGATTGGTAATCATTCGGAGGGCCTCTTTTAGCCTTTCCAGAAAGGCAACAGGGTTCTCGCTGGGCTCCTGAGTTATTGCTGAGACTGGGCACAGCACCACAACTAATAGGCTTCCTTCTATTTTCATGGGTGGACTTTCAGGGGTGTGTCTTTCTAAAGCTTATCCTATCCAGTACTGCTGCAACCTGAGAACCAGGTGTCTCTAGGTCAGGGTTCAGATCCCCAGGCAGGCTGAGGAGTGACAGCCTCCTGATCAAATCCCCGGGCAGGCCAAGGAAGGCTGGCCTCCCAAAAACTGGGTCCCTGTGCAGGTCGAGGCATGTCTACCTCCTGGGACCCCTGGACTGGAGTAGGGCATCCCCCAGGTCTCCAGCGTGACCAGTGCTGGGTAGGATTAAGGGGTCGTAACTCATTGCTGGTTTGTCTACCACAGATGGGAAGAGATACCATGATGTAAAGCAATCCAAGCCTGTCCCCTGAGACTTGGAACCTGGTGAAACAGCCATAAGCCTTATCCTCTTACTGCTCTGAGGGAATGTAAATCACTGATTTCATCCCCTAGTCCCCCATAAGGGCAGTTTAGGGTGTTTCCAAGGGTAAACATTTCATTCTCATAGACCCACTTTAGGTAATAACAGAAGTAATGACAAAGGAATGGGTTATCTGGTCCTGTTAGGGGCATAAGGAGCATTTTAATAATAATAAGCACCACATTCCATGGCCACCACACTCACCCTCTGTGATGGCCCACACCCTGTGGAATGTGGTTCTCTCTGAATCTGAACAAATCCACCTCTTCTCTTTTTGTCTTTCACTGAATTTTTTCAATGAGACATCAAGAGCCTGAGCTTCATTAGGTCCTGAAGCCAGGTACCACAGCTCAAGTTCCAGGAGACAGGAGCTGAAGGACAGGAGGAAAAAGCAGTGGAAAAAACATACCAAGGAATCCCCTACATAACCTGCTGGAAAATCTGCTAAATACCTGACCTGTGCTCAGTTTTCATTGGCTTGATCCTTGGCACAAAGAAGATTAATGACAGAAGAACCTCCATTCGCTTGGGCAACAGCTACTAGGGCACAGCAGATAGTGGAGCCTTTGGGACACAGTGAGGAGTACCCCCTGCCAGAGTCCCTCAATTATACCCACTGCCGCTTCCCTATCCGCGAGGGTTCAAGGAAACAAGAAATGAGCGATTGTAAAGGAATTAAGATTTTGTTAGCCATATGCCCTTCCAACCATAGGGGCGAGGACCTCCTATCCCAACAAAAGGTCTTCTGGAATCTGAGACTGAGCCACGTGAGCCTCTGCCAAGTTTGTTTTTGCTGTCCCAGTTTCCAGCATGCTGGGCTTCTTGTCACTTCTCCTGCACTAGGTTTTCTTAGCGTTCAGCTTCCACCATGGGAGCTTTCGCAGAGTTGGGCTTCTGCTATGCTTGGCCTCCATCTCGCTGGGGCTGAGCTGAGGTTGTTTCAGCCAGGTTAAATCCAAATCACGGCACCATAGATATCAGGGGAATGTGTAATTTCCTCAGTTAAGTCTCGTTGCAACAAAAATTTGAAGCGATGGATGCACCAGTGTTACAGCCCTGTGTAATTATCTCGGATAGATCAGTGTTACCGCTCTGTGTCACAGCTCAGCTTTATTTAAAAGCAAAGAAAAATACATCCTCAAGGCATAAGGGTGGGCCAACCCAAAAGATGTAAAGGGAAGAGAATTTTGGCTCCTCTTTTTACATGGTTTTCCTCCTCCCCCTGAACCCACCCTATGTAAATTGAGATACCCAGGAGGGCTGTTTTACCTGAGATTCTCACTTCAGTCCTTGGACCTTCCTTTGTTCTATTTCTGCAGGCTTTTCCCTTCTTTGTTTTTTAGCCACTGCCATTTTGGACTCCTTTTTCCTATTCTAACTACCTAACATCGTCATTAGCTAGCTAATTATGCATTATTCTAAAAGAAAAGACAGTGGTGGGTAGGGTCAACCTTGTATGAGAGATTTTCTTCACCTGTGGTCCTAGGAGAACTTATCCTTTCAGGCCTCAGGGTAAGTGGTCATGTGCACTGCAAACCAAGATTCAGGTTTAGATTAAACCTGCAGGGGCCATAGAACAATTTATCCCCTTGACAAATCTTTTCTGCTGGTTAATCAATGGAATTTTATGGCCCATTTCTTGAATAATATATTTGAGCTTGTTTTATGTGTACCTGCCTTAAGTTGCTGATTCTATAAAACTGAAAGCTGACTATATAGTCTTGTCAGAGTTTTGGAGATACACATTTTCCTAATTGGATTTGTTGATTTATTGCTAACAAAGATAAAACTTTCTACTTCAGCCACTTATCTGGGTTTTGAAATTGCTTCAGCCTGAAAGCAAATGGTACGAGTCTGAAAAAAGTGCTTGAAGTACATTTAGCCACAAAAATATTAACTTGATAGAAAAGAAACAAAGAAAAAGACACATATAATCTTCTTTAAATTCTGGAATAACATTATTAAAAGTACAGCTATTTAAGCAGAAAATTAAATTGTGGCAACTACTGCCAAATGCATTTGCTCAGATTACAGAGTCAGTTTCATAATTAGTTTTCTATCAGAATATTATAATTAGTGGTAATCAGGTTATCAACATTTTATAATTATAGTATTTGTGGAGTAAAACTATAGTTATATAATTAGTATTCTATGACTAACATTTAAACAGGAAATAAGAAAATAACCCCTAAAGCCTATGGAGAATACTTATAAAATCTCATGGCAGGCAATAGGAAATGCTTTACTTTTTGAATCTTTATAAGGAAGAAAAGATATCTTCACAGTTTCCTCCCCATATTTTATTCTATAATTACTATCTAGCCTAGAAAACAAAGATGGCTGACTGATTTTCCATTTTAGGCTTTTATGAGGTAGTGTCTATTTTGCATATGCTATTATTTTATTTAATAACATGTTTGCTGTTATGTTGGAATTCTTCTATTTATTATGATGTTGATACATAACCACTTAGAGAAGTAGAATCTATGCTATCCAAAGTAACTAGAAACAAGCGAGTTTCATGTTTGAAAAGCTCTAAGTGTATCTTTGTGTCATAGAATACACTATGCCTGACAAAGGATGAATCCCAAGAACCAATAAATCTTTCTTGGCTAACTGAAGAAAAGCTGAAGTACTACTGGTATTGAGTCAGAAGACAAAAACAACACTCTGAAGTTAAATAAAATAAAACTTATAGCCTCTTGAACTAACACTCATTTTCAAATCTGGCTATTCTCTAGAACTAACATGAATTCACACTTGTACCTCCTGTGTGTGTTCTTGAATTTAATCCATACAAATGATGCACTGCAACAATATTACTTCACCATTTGGAATGTTAGAATAAGTAAATAGAGTGGGGGAAAAAAAACACTGGAGGAAGCAGCACAGCTGCTATGTCCATGCCTGGGACCTGTGTTTGTCTAGGAAGCTGTAACTGTGCATCATACTGGAGTCAGATTCTACTAGCACCAAAGGAACTAAGTAAACTATACAGAGTATAGAGAAGCTTATTATTATAAAGTGTCAGAACTTAATGCTCCCGGAGAGTCATTACATTATAGAAGGACTAACTGAACAGGCATCCTAATTTCTTCACTTTAAAGGTCAAGTTCTCAAGGAAGCTGAGCTACTAGTCCAGCATGTTGAATCACTTTTAAATTTGTAGTAGGGTAATTCAAAGTATTAATGCAAGTTTAGCTCTGGTTTTCCAAATTCTAATCAATATCAGATTAACAGGGAAAAACAGGGAATCATTGTTGGGTGGGAAAAAAATGCAGCATAGGACACTTTGGTGGGGGTTGAGGGAAAGAGGAGGAAAAAAGGAAAACTTATTCAGCAGACAGCTGCAAGGTCCATGATCTGTCTTTTTAAGTCACACTGGACATCCCTGGAGGTCCAGTGGTGAACACTTCACACTTTCACTGTGGGGACACAGGCTTGATCCCTGGTCAGGGAAGATCCCATAGGCTGTGCAGCGTGGCCAAATTTAAAGGAAGTCACACTGATCCTAACTTATTTTCAGAACTAACATATTTGGCTGAAGGAGGGAGCAGATAACCTAGAGAATGCTTCCAATATTGAATAAGAAGATAGGTGCTTTTTTTATAAAGCAACAGTAGCACAGAATTTTGAAGTCATTTCAGAAAAACAAATTCTACACATTGGACTTGGTGTTAAAGATTGTCATTTAGTCCAGAATTTATTTTATGTAGGAATGAAAAATAAGGCTTTTAGCCCTCCTTTTCTAAAAACAACACAAATGATTTCCCAACAAAAGCATTCTGCCAGGAAGCTGACAAATAAATGTTGCCTTTGCTTCATTTTTGCAAATTTGGATCAGAATTAGGAGAATTTGGCCTTGAATTACCAACCTCTTTGTTTTGGTGCTATAAATAAATTGTTGAGAAGTGGAAAAGCAATTACAAAAACAGCAAAGAAAACCAAGATTTAAACAAATATTGATTGCAAGTAGAGAAAAAAAAAAGGTAAACCAACCAACATTATAATTTATCACTCACATAAAAATCCAAATATAGGAAAGGTAACATTTAAGC